GTGGAAAAGCACAACACAAGTCGAGACAACTGGATATGGGTTGTTCACAGGTGTCGTTACGTACGAACCAGTCTATAACTCTGCACGTAAAAAATCCCCGCAATGAGGCACCTCAGCTACCATAAAGCAGTCACTGTGGTCTCACCCCCCTGTCCAAAGGAGGACTAGGTTCTCACGTTAAGGCACTGAAGGAGCATGACGAAGCGAAGGATAGTCAGTTACCTATGCGTCGGTGAAACTCTAAGAGTACCCACTGAAGCTGCGGCAAAAAATAGAACTGTCCTAATTTGCTCTTCAATCAAGTCAGATACGCCGACTGCGAGCAGAGCAGAGCTTGAGCTCAACGCTTAACTGATTAGATTCAATGACCAATCAGATTTTAGCTCGAATGAGGACTATTCCTGAAATGAGTTTACCTCTGCTGATACACACAGTACCCAGGGACAGAAAAGATAGGATGGCAAGCCGCTATTTTCAGATAAATTGTTCACGGGAGTACGGTGATACCACACTTATTGACTAAGCTACCTACCGCCATAACAGTAAACTGCATATAAGTCGATCCTTCCGTTCAAGTCAGTTTGCACTGGATAGATGAAGTGATTCTGGACACCTGAGTGTCATGCTTAACCAAAACTATAGCAGGTGCTGAATAGGCTTGTCAACTGTCTGCTGTGCTGGCCTAGAAGTCGACAGGAAAAATATGATCAAGCCTTACGGAGCAGATAGACTTAAAAAGCGACCAGCAACAAACTGCAGTCGAGGCTGAACAGAGGCAGCAGTAGCAGTACAATTTGCATTTATCTGCTTTCTTCACTACGTTAGGATTCGGCTTGCCTAAATGCCACGTGTCACGCATTTAAGAAATTGAGTAGGGCGGAACATGTCTAAAAAAGTTCAATCTCATGATCTCCTAACGACATGCAGCTGACATAAGCTGCAATGTACGAAAACGTGAACTGTTTATCAGAAACCCTGAGAGGACAACGACTTACCGATATCAGCCTTCTTCAGGGCAGGTGAATCGTTGACACCATCCCCTGTGACGGCCACAATGGCGCCCTGGCGTTGGAAGCCCTCGACAATAATCAGTTTCTGCTGAGGACTGGTACGCGCGAACACAATCTCCGAGT